TTTCAGTCAAGGGCACATGCTCAGGTTGTGGGCTCGATCCCCAGTAGGGGGCGTGTAGGAAGCAGCCAATCAGTGATTCTCTCTCACCATTAATGTTTCTCTCTCTCCCTTCCTCTCTAAAATCAATAAAAATATATTTAAAAAGGGAAAATAAGTGTAATGGCAGCCCTTCCGTTCCATTCATTCCATGTGGCTTTGCGATTAACAAAGCAATTTTACAAAAGAAGTCTTTTTTTTAATATATAAAAGCATGTTTAATGCAGAGAAAATGGGTGGCCAGTGTAAGCGCCTAAAAAGAAGTCTTAATGAGCCTTTTCATCTATTACTGTATGAAGCTTTTCAGTTGTTTTTAATTTTTAGTTTTTTTGAGATATCTTGAAAAGGAAATTGATATAACAGAGTCTAAGGTTAATATTACAAAGGTCTGTCTCTGCGAGTCAGCTTCCAAAGGTAGGTATGTGTGTGCATTCATTCCTCTTCTCTACTCCACATGCCATGGAACTCGAAGAACCTGTAGAAAGGAATCATGGCCGTTGTTTTCCTGACAGCCTTTTGTGGAGTGTGTCCCCAGCGCAGGGCAGGTAAACACGTCTTCCAGACCAGCCTAAATTAAATGAAAGCTTAGCTCCATTTCACTTAAAAGGTTTATAAATGGGCTCCTCCTACAGGGGAACCGTAAAGCTTCTCTTGTGTATTGGAGGATCTGAGCTGGAGCTACATTGAACGCAGGACCCTAGGGGGTCCTCTCAGTGTTGAGCATATGAGCGCTGTAGGTGCCTGAGTGAATGCACCTACTACATGCAGAGCTCCTAATAGTTACTGTTGCTGCTCTTCGTGCTTACAGTGCACTGGCAAAGGCTTGCCGTGTACCCGGTGATCACTGAAAAGTCATTCCTGTATCTTAGGGTGCCCGAAGTGGTGCAGGAGCTTCCCGTGACGTCCCCTGCGGATGACTTCAGGCAGCCTCATTACAGCAGCGACGGTAACTTTGAGACACCGTCCAAAAGGGCTCCCACAAAGAGAAGGGCGGGCAAGTCAAAGAGGCCAGAGCAAGACCACTATGAGACAGACTACACGACTGGCGGCGAGTCCTGCGATGAGCTGGAGGAGGACTGGATCAGGTACGCGCGGCCTCTTTCGCTGGAGCCACCTGCACATTTGATATTAGCGTTTGGGAGCTGTTGCATCCTAAACTGGGGTGGGAGGTATAATTCCATTCTTTGCCAACCAGGACCGGAGACTGGTCTTTCATGTTTTTTTCTTAGTACTCGTTCGTAATAAAGATGGACAATTGGAGGGGGTATGCTTGGCTGTAATAGTGTCTTACACGGCTCCCACGCATGGCTGAGAAACTTCACCAGGGCTTTTACTTTTGCCAATAATTAGTCAAGAAAGGCCTTTAAATAAATAAAATACAAGTACAGAGGAACTTTATTTTACTGATTATAAATTTCCCAGGCTGGTGCTATGGCTCTGCTTCGGCATTTACTTTTAAGCTTCCACGATGACACCAGGGATTCTTTAAAAGTTTATCCAAAGGATTTTGGAAAACAGTTCTGTATACAGTTGTTAAGAATTTAGTGTTCTGGCCAAGATTGAGGTTAAGTTTCTTTGTGTGTGTGTGTCAGTGGTTTTGTTTTAGGCCATCAGCACAGCTCTACTCTTGTTTGATGTAGCCCTTTTATGCCCAAGTAATATGAGGCATGGGATACAAATCCGAAACATTTGTGGTGTGAATGGTGATGAGTGAAAACATCGCTTCTTAAGGTGTTAGGGATGCATGGCGTGGGTATAGTTTGAAATCCCCTACACACGAGTGTTTCTCAGACCTCGTTTCCCCTCTCTCCTTAAGAGTTTTTGGCCTATGGGGGGAAAAATGGACACATATGTAATATCCTTTGTAATAAATAATAAAATTTTAAAAATAAATAAATAAAATAAAATAAACACGTTAAAAAAAAAAAGAGTTTTTGGCCTAGCTCAGCCATATAACTGTGAAATATTTGCTTAACTTATAGAATATTTAAATGAAAACTTTTAGAAATTCTGAATTCTCGTTTCCCTTTTGAGCAAATCCTTTAATTTATCCTCTCTGCAAAATGAAGGTATTAGGCTGACTTAGATCAAAAATTTGAAATTCCATATTGCTAAGAAGATCCGTAGTTTTGTGACACAATTCAGTATTTCTTCAGTGGATTAGGGATGAATAGCATTACCTTCAGATGTAAAGAACAGCTGGTATATTGAGAGATACAGTGATACAGAAACTCAGGGTTTTTTCCATAGTTTAATGTATTGCCAGATTATTTGTACAACGAGCGTGCATTTTTATACATGGACATTTTAAAGTCTACTTTTATCATCAAAGGACTTAAAATAAGCTATTTCCACTTAGGAAAAACAAGACCAAGATAAAAAACAAACAACAAAAAAACAACAACCCATACCCCAAACAGTCTGAAAACTGTAGGTGGTAGCGGAAAATAGCCAGCTGCCAGTGGACTGCCCTGCCCCCGCAATGACGACAACATGCCTCGTGTTCCAGAATACCAGTTCCAAGACGTTAAACATAAGTTGCGTTATCGTGTTGTACATGCAGAATAAGTGGGTTCTTATAACTTGAACCTTAAATTTCATAAATTACTTTTAACTTTATGTCCCAAAATTATGTAGGAATAGTTTTTATTAAAAAACAACAACACATACAACATGATCAGTGATGTAGAAAGTATAATCCTTCTTAAGAGAACTATTTGCAGCCCACCTTCCTCTCCCCATCAGCTACAAAAAGAAGGTCATTCTCCATGTCCCATCAGCTTTATTATCTTTGAGGAAGAAACACTGGATTTTATGTCTGCTAAGGGCACATAGTCATTTTCTCACTCAATTTTTAGGGAATATCCACCTATCACTTCAGATCAACAAAGACAAGTCTATAAGAGAAGTTTTGACACTGGCCTGCAGGAATACAAGCGCTTACAAGCAGAACTTGATGAGATCAATAGAGAACTCTCTCGTCTGGATAAGGAATTGGACGACTATAGAGAAGAAAGCGAAGAGTACATGGTAAGTTCAAATATGGTAATTATATATTACATATACTCTACTCTGATCTATGGAGATCCAGTATCCTTTATATTGATGTTAATACAAAATGTGTTAGTAATTATAAAACTGTAATTTCATTGAAGAATAATTGAAATTGAATCTTGGATGAAAGTCTTTCCAAATTGAAGAGTATACTAATACTAATTTACTTAAGAATTACAAAGCAGCCCTAGCCGGCTTGGCTCAGTGGATAGAGCGTCAGCCTGTGGTCTGAAGGGTTCCAGGTTCGATTCCGGCCAAGGGCACATGCCTGGGTTGCGGGCTCGATCCCCAGTAGGGGGTGTGCAGGAGGCAGCCGATCAATGATTCTCTCTCATCTTTGATGTTTCTATTTCTCTCTCCTTCTTCCTTCCTCTCTGAAATCAATAAAGAAATATATTTTTTAAAAAAAGAAATACAAAGCAGTAGTCTACATACATATATTTCTTCCTCTTTAAAAGAAAATAACTACAGCACTTTTTCTATTTATACACCCAGTTTATTCTTTGTGTAAAAAATTCAAACAATACAGAATTGCCTAAATTCCTTAATTTTCACCACCTGTTTATCACCAAAATATGGGTTGTTGATATAGGCCCTTTGATAAGGAATCATCTTATATGTTTTACCTATATCTCTCCCGTATTTTTACTCAAAAATAGTGTATGGTTTGTTTGTTCTTTGATCACCTGGCAGAGGCAGTATTTATCTGTGTAAAGTTACTCTTCCCGTTGTAATCGCCCTTTCCATAGTATACTATTGATCATACTTAAGAATTGAAGACTTATGCTCCAGCTCTCCAAAGGAGATGTACCTACACAAATTATTTGGAATTCTTCTGCATGGAAAATGTGTCACTTCTCCCATTTTTAAAATTTATTTAGTCAGTCACTTTTCAGTAAGGGCTCATGGATATCTTATTTATACATTAGCTTATAATCAAATACTACTTTATTGTTATAGCTCTGACCATTGGGAATTCTTTCAGCTGCCTCCTTTGTCTATTTTTTTATCTTTTTAAATATATTTTATTGATTTTTTACAGAGAAGAAGGGAGAGGGATAGAGAGTTAGAAACATCGATGAGAGAGATCGATCAGCTGCCTCCTGCACACCCGGCACTGGGGATGTGCTCGAAACCAAGGTACATGCCCTTGACCGGAATCGAACCTGGGACCCCTCAGTCCGCAGGCCTACGCTCTATCCACTGAACCAAACCGGTTAGGGCTCCTTTGTCTATTTGATGTACCCTATCATTGTGGGGGGTTTTATTTCTTTTTTTAATTAAATCTTTATTGTTCAGATTATTACATTTGTTCCTCTTTTTCCCCCCCTAAACTCCCCTCCTCCCAGTTCCCACCCCACCCTCCGCTCTGCCCTCTCTCCCCACCCACTGTCCCCATCCAGTCTCGATTTTTGTCCAGTTTCTTCCCACATCTCCCACATCCCTTTCCCCCCCAAGAATAGTCAGTCCATTCCCTTTCTATGTCCCTGATTTTATTACAATCACCAGTCCATTTCATCTAGGTTGTCCAGCTTATTGGAGTAGAGTTGTTCGTAGTATTGTTTTACAATCCTTTGTATATCTGTTGGGTCTGTTGTTACTTCACCTCTTGAATTTCTGATTTTGTTTATTTGGGTCCTCTCTCTTGTTTTTTGGTGAGCCTGGCTAGAGGTTCATCAATCTTGTTTTCCTTTCAAAGAACCAGCTCTTGGTTTTATTGATCTTTTGTATTGATTTTTGGCCTCTTCTTTTATGGCTTTTTATGGTGTTATAGTGTTGTCATAAACTTTAATCAGTTCAGTGAATAGTATTGATCATTATTGTGCCCTTGGTGTAGAAGTACGGAAGTTAGAAAGATAAATAAAATCCTGTGTCATCCGCTGAAACCGGTTTGGCTCAGTGGATAGAGCGTCGGCCTGCGGACTGAAAGGTCCCAGGTTCGATTCCGGTCAAGGGCATGTACCTGGGTTGCGGGCACATCCCCAGTAGGAGATGTGCAGGAGGCAGCTGATCGATGTTTCTCTCTCATCGATGTTTCTAACTCTCTATCTCTCTCCTTTCCTCTCTGTAAAAAATCAATAAAATATATTAAAAAAAAAAATCCTGTGTCATCCCTCAAAGAATTCATATCCTGAGAGAAACTGACATCTAAATAACTTAGACAATGTGACTAATGTCATATTCATATTATAATGTAGAAAGTACTATAAAGAACTGCTATAGAGAAGAAATTAGGTCTGCTGAAGGCTTGAAGAGTTTAGGAGAGGCTTCATTGAGAGGTAACCATTATAGATTCTCTGGGCAAAATAAGGTACGGGTGCATGAGTACAGACAGCTTCAGGGAGAACATGATAGAAATCTGGAAGCATTAACATGATTAATTATTTAATTTGCAATTAAAAGGAATTGCAGATCTGGAAACAGCCTAAGTGCCCATCAGTAGATGAATGGATTAGAAAA